ACTTTAGTTATCTTCCTTAATGGTCATAATGTTATTTGCTAATCCTCAGCTTCCTCAATGATGCCACTGATGTCTCGGGAATTATGAGATTGAAACATTAAAGTTTGTTCAATAGCTTATTTATGCAACATCCCAAAAAAATAAAGAAAATAAAAAGTAAAAAAAAATTCTCAGTTTTGGCTCATGAAGTTTCAGGTTTAATTTCTTGTTTCATTGTTTATGATAAAACTTGAATGGTAATCTCTAACCTCCTTGAACTATCTTAGAAGCACTTTTGAGCTAGACTAACATATAAGTATTCTAGTCATGCAGCAGGATTGCCTCTAGTTCATGTCTGAATATAATGTTTGTCATCTTAATTGTTTTACTTTGTGTCTAATAGAATGCTTATCATCTTATCTTTCAAATTTGGCTTCAAAGTAAGTACTAACATGGAAAATGTTCGCACCTTATGCCTTGTGAAGGAGAAACTTGATTCAGATTATTTCAGTCTAGACACAAACTGCATCATTTTTGTTTATGTGCTCTTATTCGGTTGTCACTTTAAAAATGCTTGATTGATGTGGTGTCATGTCAGTTGTCTGTCTTGCCTGCTTAATTTCAGAAACATAGCTACTTTCATGTGAAGCTTCTATTTATAGAAATGTTTTACCAAAATCATTTAGCATTATGTCATCCGTATTGTGTGTTCTTCTTGTTTTATGGAAATCATGTAGCAGTATGTCATTCATTTTGTGTGTGTTCGCCATCTTCTTGCCATCTTAGTTTCAGATGCATGACTTCTATCGATGCATCTGTTTAGTACTTACTTGTTTTACAAAAATCTGATTGATTTGGCATTATATATGTCATGCATGTTTTGTGTTGTTGCCTTCTTCTTGCCTGCTTAATTTCAGATACGGAACTTTTATGTGAGGCAGCTGTTTTAGTGTTCTTAATTTTACAAAAAACTGATCATATCTGCTGAAATTCTTATTAATGATGGTTTAAAAAAGCGTAATATCTGTGCTAGGAAAAACTGATAACACGCAAAAAGCTAGTGATAATAAATGGAGAGCAAACATATGCGAACAGGGAAGAAGGAAATTATCACTCATGTTCTTTACAAAATTTCTTTCAGCTTATTGTTTCTGTTCGACACAAATGTATAAATGTTAGTTATCTACAGTAAAGATGTTCTTTTCCTTACAGTATTAGGTTGAGATGCGTTGGTGGTGTATTTTGATTATAAATATGTTCTTACTTGTAATGTGAAAATGTAAAATTTGGTTTTATGAACTTTGTTCGTTTTATAAGAAGTGTATACATCTCAAGTTAATATGCCGATTTATGTGAGAAAATAACTAACTTATACTGGTCATCAGTTTGTTCCCTCCATGATGGTTATTTTAGCGCTACGAGCCCAAATTTTGGGTCTCAGAATAGTTGGGATATCAATTCAACCAGTGTATGAAGCATTACTCATTGAGATTCAATGTGAGGTGATCTTCTTATTTTTATTGCATGAAATAATATTTTTCATTATTTCTCTTACGTAAAAAATTGTTTCAATTCTTTTGATTATGAAATCTAAACATTTAATTTTGTTAGACTAGTGTATAATGTATAAATTCATCTACAATTCACTATGTTGTTATCTATATTTTTCAGAGTCTTGTGGATAAGGTGGAGGTAGAGATAGTACTTGGATTTTAGATAACTATTAATAATGTGGATTATCTATTTTCAGATTGGACCTCATATCTAGTTTTTAGAAATTTTTCTAATAGTTTTTGTGGATTGATATATATTATTATTTTGATGGATAGTTATCCTTATTTTTAAATTCATACTATGTGAATTGTTATGTACCACATGTTGAGGGATTGCCAGCAGGTTTAGTCCGGCTTCTAGATCCTTCAGATTCAGGAATTTGGGATCGTGACACCTTTCTTGCCGTCTGAGAATAATCCAAGCCTGTTTGCTACCTGTAAAACAACTCGTGCATCGCGTTGTAGATGATTTCCTCGTTGAGTTTGTACTTGTATTGAAAGGCTGACTTGAGGCCTTGTGGATGAAACTTTTAAATCTTCATGCTGTTTATCTGAGCAGTGATCTTAAATTTGACGAACGTTTGATATTTTCTTCTCTGACTTGGTGATTTATTGGGGGATTGTTACTGAAACGGCTCCTCTGGAGCTTCCGGTTACATTTTCTTTATATACCTTGTTTCTTTGGAGGAATTTTTTTTTTTTCATATTTCTTTATGGATATCCTTTGGTGCCACAGGGTCACAGGGTTGAGAGTTCATGGTACGTTTTACTGAAACAGGACATCCTCTTCTTCAAACGGGGTTCTGAACTGGAGATGCGGTGACCAAGAATTAATAATTACCATGTACGTGCAATTCTCTTTTTAACTCGAGAAGAATATATCCAACATTGTAATAAGGCACATCTGGTATGCTCAAATAAACATTTATAATATGTAGAACATCCTTTTGTGTATATGAACAACTGTATTCTGGAGAATTCTGTAGATAGTACTCCACCATGATATACGTATATCCTAATCCTACAGATGGGAGTGTTGGCAGATATTTTCCATATAAATGAACTGAAACTCGCCCCTAGCTACCTGGTGGCTTTTAGATAAAACGAGTAAAATTGAATCCCATGTTGCCTTGGCATTTGTGTAAAGATGCCAAAAAATAATGGTAAGCATTTTGCTTAGAAAATTCTTTTTTAATTTGTGGATAAAAATGTTTTAGGGAGTTATAATATAGACAAATTAGTGTTAATGAAGAAAAAATGGTTTACGCATTTGGTACAAAAAATTCTTTTTTAGCTTTTGAACAAAAATATTTTCCGGTTTCATATTGTAGATAAATTAAAGTGAGAAAAGTTAAAAAAAAAATTGTTTAAGCATATGAACAGTAATAATGATTTTAATAGTTGTATAGTAGATAAATTAGTGTGGAGAAAACCATAAAAAAAGCTCATTTTGATTTAGAAAAAAAATATCAGCTAAAGCATTTGCACAATACTAATGCCTTGGTGGTTGTTATGTACATAAATTAATGTCCAGAAAGGCAAAAAGAATAACAATAAAGGCTCATTTGTTTTCGAAAGAAATGTTTTTGAGAAAATTAGCTTCTCGCATCTTTCAATAAGTTCATATTAGTCCCTCAAATCTTAGTAATTGCTCATTAGTACCTAAATTTGTAAGGGGTCTTACAATTTGGTCCCTCAATGATGAAAATAATTCTTAGTTATGATTTTTCTCTTAAATCTCATCTTACCGAAAAAAAAAAGATTATTTTCACTTTGGTAATCTAAAGTTTACACCTTTTTAACTTTAATACCAAAGTTTTTTTGGCACTTTGATGTTGTGAAGTTTGCACCTTTTTAACTTTGATACGTCAAAGATTTTTTTTCCTGACACTTTTGTGAAGATATCATTTATATCTTTTTAACTTTGAAACCCGAAAGTTTTAGTTTTGACACTTTGATACCTTAAGGTTTATATTAAACTTTATGGTGTTCAAGTTAAAAATTGTGCAAACTTTGAGGTATCAAAGTAAAAAAGTTAGAACCTTTGAGGTACAAAAGCTAAAAATTGAATAATCTTTAGGGTATCAAAGTGCCAACAATATTTGGTATCAAAGTTTTAAAAGTTGTAATTTTTTTGGGTATCAAAGTGTCAAGAAAATAGTGGATATCAAAGTTTTAAATAAATGCAAACTTTAGGATACCAAATTGTAAACAACGTTTTAAAAAATTAAGATGTATTTTGGTCATTGAGAGACAAAATTGCAATAATACTAGGATTTAATGGACTAATGAGGAAATATTTAGATTTGAGGGACTATTATGGAAATATTGAAGACCTAAGGGACCAACATCTAAATAATCTTATACAGAAATACCCTTTAAAATTGCCAAATTCAAATAATACTTAAAAAATATTAGACCAAATTGCAATAACGTTAGGATTTGAGGGACGAATGAGCAATTATTGAGAATAGCTGGGCTAATATAAAATTATTGAAGATTGGAGGGACTAATACTAAATAATAACCAAAACTGCGCCTTTGGTCTAATATATAGGTTTTAACCAACTAAGCTTTTTTTCTTTTGATAAATTTTGACAAAAATTATACTAATAAGAAAGATTAATGTAACAATGAGAAGACATTCTACAACTGTAGACCATATGTGTGTGTGTAAAATATGATATTGTGAGCTCAAATCTTATCATGAGCTCAAATCTTATCATGAGCTAGTCTAACCAGCTCATCAAATTCATGATCGGTACCATAAATTTTGTCTGTACATCTCGTTCAACAATTCATCACATGTATATGATAAAATTTTCACAAATATTGGAGTCTTCTAGAATATGTATCAAACTAATTTGTTATGTTGATTTTCCAAGAAGATTAACAACCGTCCCTTTTATGCATAACTAAAGTAATGACTAAAAATTCTAAAACAACATAATGTTTTCTACATGTAGATTATGGTGGGTGCAATTCACACCTATCTCCAGAACCTGTAAATAGAATTATTTACAAGTCTCTGCGGATTCCCAATTTGCAAGGATAGTATTGTTACCAGTCTTCCATGTACAGGTTCTAAGCAAGACATTTATATCCTCATAGAGTCGCCTAAATACCATCAACTTGTGCAACTGGGTAGCATGAAATATACGTCTATTCCTTTCTTGCCATATATGCCAGACAGCTGCACTTAAAACCATTCTTGACAGTTTATACGTTCTGTCTTTCCTCTTGAACTTGGATTGAATATCTAGAGCTTCAGTTCTAATGTCATTTATGACCGTAGCATCAAGCTGAAGTTTGAGTTTGCAGAGATTCCAGATATATGCTGAAAAAGAACATTGGAAAAAAAGATGATCTCTTGACTCAATCCCACCAGAACAGAGAACACACTCCACAGCTGATGTAATTCCAAACCTGGACAGTCTGTCCCTAGTGGCTAATCTATTATATAAACTTTTAATCAAGCAACAAGCCATCTTAGGATTTGAGGAAGGAAACCAGACCACATTTGAAAGATCAAAATTTGAGTAAGAGGTTCTTACTTGATCCCATGCTGACGCAAAAGTAAATTTCCCATTTGCATTTGGTAGCCAAATCCAGTGATCATCTTGACCAGTTATTTGAATATTTGAGATATGATGAATTATTGGAAAAAGGCATGGTAAATCAACATGCCATTGAGAGTTTTGAATGATGTGAGATACTGACCAATTTTTTGTGCCTGTGAGATGTGGGTTTATTTGCTGCAGAATGTCCGAAAGCCTGCCTTCAAGAATCCATGGATCAAACCATAGAGAAGTTGTTTCACCATTACCAATAGATTTCCTTATGCAACACATAGCTTTAGGTTTAATACCTGCTAAAAGCTTCCAAGTTCCAGAGTCCATAGCATGGGCCGGTGCATATCTTGCTCTCATCCAATTAGACCATAGAGTAGAAGTAGAAAGAAGTCTCCATATCAATTTAAGGGCAGCAGCATGACAGAGATCATTTAATTTCCTCAATCCAAATCCTCCTTCTTGTTTTGGACGACAAATATCCTTCCAGTTGATAGCATGTAGCTTACCCTTCCATAGAAAGTTAGCAAAAATTGACTCCAAACTGCGAACAGTAGAGTTGGGGAGTTTATAGACAAAATACCAGTATGCTATGGTACTAAATAGAACTGATTTTATGAGTTCAATCCTCCCAACAAAAGATAAAGAGTATGTCATCCAACCCTCGATCTTCTTCCTAACTTTATCAATAAGTGGGAGAAAATCTTTTGCTTTAGGATAATTGAAAGATAAAGGTAGGCCCCAAATAATTATTACGAGGTAGAGACCCACTTGATATGCCTATAACAGAACTTAGAACATCTTTATTTCTGCATCCTTTACTGAAAAAAAAATTCTGCTTTTGCTTTTATTGATACTCAGTCCTGTGTTAAGTGTAAGAGATTCTAACAAATTGTTAATGCCTTCAAAGGATTTCCTGTAGCGTCTACAAAAAACCAGCATATCATCAGCAAATAAAATATGAGACACTTTGTAGATTCTGATTCTTCTTAATATTCTGAATTTTAACCCGAAATGGTAGCAAGCTCCATACTAATAGACCAAAAATTCCATCACCAAACAAAGATATATGGGGATAGAGGATCCCCCTGTCTTATACCCCTATTGCTTTGAAAAAAACCAGTAGAAGAGCCATTTAATAAGGACTAGAAAAAGAAGGGTAGAGAGGCATCTCTTGATTCCAGTTGATCCATATAGCTGGAAATCCATGCGGTGCATAATATAGTATACAAACTCCTATTTATACTGTCGAAAGCTTTTATGCAAGTCAATTTTGAACAAGCTCTTTTACCATGCTTCCTAAGAGAATCTCTTAGTAACTCATGTGCAATAGGGACATTCACCCTATTTTGTTACCTTTGAAGAAAAAGCATGTGCATTATGTGAACTCAAACTCTCCCAACCACCACTTCAATCTGTTGCTTAAGATCTTAGTAATAATTTTGTAAATAACATTGCACAAGAGATAGGTCTATAATCTTGAATGGACGTGGCTTCTTCTTGATTTTGCACTAGAGTGAAGAAAGGTGTTGTTTGTGGGAAAATTTGCAGTAAAAGTAAAAAAAAATTGATTTGTATTCCTTTAATCTCAGTTACAATTGGATTTCCGATTACAAAAGAGAAGAGAATGAATTTGATTCTCCCCTTTGTTTAATTCTGGTTCTTCACCGGTACGCGATGAGATGCCTCCCTCGAATGCTCGCGTCGAGTTTTTTGCTTTCTCGTTGACGATCCGACGTCTTGTTTCACTGGAACGTGGTCTTCTCCTCACGATTTGACGTTATGGAGATTCTGAACGAGTTTGAAACTCTATGAAGAGAGTTGATTTAACACCGAAATCGGTTATAAGCCAAGGATGAAGAAGATCTTGTTGCCGATCTCAAAGCTCCAGAAATGCTCTAGGGATCCTGTTGACGAGCCAAGAAGTTCTAACGACCGAACCCGAAAAGTATCCAGCCCTGATCTGATTATCAAAATCCGATCCTTAACTCTGTTGAGTTTGTCGTTATTATAGGGGATTAAAGGGGTGTAACCACCTCCTTAATTCGCTCGCTAAGTGGGCTAATGGGATGTAACCGCCCTTAAATCACTCCTGAGTGGAGTTGTGATCCCTCAGATCGTGGGAAACGGTTTTGGAACCGTTCAGCTCGTGTTTGAACGAGTCAAACGCAGGCCCGCCGTTCTGACGTGAATTCTGGCATTCAAACGCAGTGTCTGGGAAGGCTTGAACCGCATCGCTCGTGAAGCCTCAGAGCCGCAAATTAGACGCTGCGTTTGTGCGTGGAATCTACGTCTGAGGCTGGCGTTTGCAGCGATTTGGAAGCGCGTCTGGCGCGATTGAGCTGCGTTTGGCGAGCTTGAGCTGCGTTTGGAGCGATTTGGCTCTCGTCTTCAGCGATTAGAGCTGCGTCTGGGCTTGCGTTTGCAGTGATTTGGAAGCTGCGTTTGAAGCTGCGTTCGTGGCATGAACGCGTGCGTCTTAATGCTGGTGTGCGGGAGGACTTCCGGCAGCTTGATTTGAAGAGACCGTCGATTTGTAGTCTCTTTCTGTCGAAGCGTTGGCAAAGATCGTTGTTTTGTAATCTTTACTTTAGCTCTTTGATATGCAAGAGTCGTCAGATTGTAACTCTCGATGTTGATGGTGAAGGCTGTTTAAACTAGAGCTCTCATCGGTTGTCGTGAAGGTCGTCAGATTGTAACCTTCAGCGATCTACGTGAAAGTCTTCAAATTGTAGCCTTCTGGAAGTCGTCAAGATTGTGACTTCCATCATCGGTGTTTTGATGGGGATCAGCTATCTATTGTGATTTTTTTGACAGCTAACAGAACCCCCTGCCAAAGTTTTCGAAAGTTCGCGGTTGACTGGGACGAATTTCGGATACTTTGGATTCAACTCTGATCTTGGAGCTGTTGATTCCTTGTGGTAAAGGATTTGTTCTCTACACTTGCTTAAGAAGGCATCTTGGTTGAAGGGATTTGACGTAGGACCTGTGTGAAGCTAAGCCGCCATAACCTGCTTTTGAACTGTGGGGGTGGACCCTGCATTTTGAATTTGGAACACGGGTGTGACCTCGCGTTTGGTTTTTGTATCGCGGGTCTGACCTCAATGTTTTGACTTAAGACATGGAAGTGGCTTCCGTGCATTTTTGACTAAGTCTCTTGAGACTTTGTCTTTGGCTCATCTATTTTTAAGTCTGCGGCTCACATCCATTAAGCTGATGGACCTGCAACAATGCATAGGATTTTTGGCAAACCCTCAGGCGCATCAACGGGATTTGATAAGCCTTTACCGACTACGCGTTTGAATGCGGGCTAGCATGTGGATTGTCTAAGTCCGTTCACATGTAACGTTTTGCTAAAGAGATGAACCCTCCTAGACTGTGATGCTATGATTTTGAATACATAGACTTTGTCATTTTTCACGGGAAACGACTAACCGCAACGCGTGTTAAGTGTAGCTTATCTCTAATTAGGGATCGAGATAAATTCCCCCATCGTAAAAGGCATGGATTTTGGTGCTACGATGTTGAATACGTAGGCTTTGTCGTTATTTCTTCCTGTGTTACTTGAAACACTGAAAGAAAGTTGGAAGTGCCAGAGGTGCAATATTAACTTGGCATGAATTTTTACTTAGAGTGAAATTAATAAATTTTCTTTATTATCACTAGGATAATTCCAGAAAATATTTAATCCGCTGGGATTTTATAATGACAACTTGCTATTCTTGTTTTGAAAAAAGGATTAACAAGTTCATTGGGGGTTGACTGTTAGAGGTGTGATGTTAACCTAACAGTATTTTTATGGACCTATCGCTCCGTTGATGAGAGTCGATAAGTGGAAAGTGTTACGATCGAGCAACTTTGAGGGCCTATCGCTCTAATGACGAGAGTCGATAAGTTGATTTTGTCAGAGGTGTTTGAATATAAGCGTGACAAGAGAATGTTGCGATCGGAGCGAACTTTGAGGACTTATCGCTCTATTGGGAAGAGTCGATAAGTTAATTGTCAGACGGTTTGGTGTTAACATGACGGGAATTTTTTGCGATCGAGCAACTTTGTGGACTTATCATCCTATTGACGAGGATTGATAAGTGGTTGTCAGAGGGTATGATGTTAACATGACAGGAATTCTGTTGCGATCGAAGCACCTTTGTGGACTTATCATCTATTGATGAGGATTGATAAGTGGGTTTTGTCAAGAGGATGTGTTCGATTGGAGGGAACTTTGAGGGCTTATCATCCTATTGAAGAGGATTGATAAGTTGATTTGTCAGAGGTTATGTGTTAACGTGACAGGATTGTGTTGGCGATGGGAGCAACTTTGTGGACTTATCATCCTATTGATTGAGGATTGATAGTTGATTTGTGCAGAGGGTTTGGTGTTAACGTGACAGGATTGTGTTGCGATCGGAGGCAACTTTGTGACTTATCATCCTATTGAAAGAGGATTGATAAGTGGGTTGTCAGAGGTGTGGATATTAACGTGACAGGATTTGTTACGATAGAAGCAACTTTGAGGACTTATCATCTCATAGACGAGGATTGATAAGTGGGTTTTGGTCAGAGGTGTGATATTAACATGACAGGAGAATGTTGCGATTGAGCAACTTTGAAAGGACTATGTCATCCTATTGACGAGGATTGTATAAGTGGATTGATCAGGGTATGAATGGTTAACATGACGGGAATTTGTTGCGCGAATCGGAGCAACTTGTGGACTTATCATGCCTACTTGAATGAGGATTGATAAGTGATTTTGTCAGAGGTTAGTGTTAACGTGACAGAATGTGTTTGCGATTTGGCGGCAACTTGAGAACCTATCGCTCTATTGAGAGAGTCGATAAGTGGAGTGGTTTTTTTTTTGTTGCAGAGGTTGATGATTAACGTACAAGTTGTTGCGATTGAGACAACTATTGGGACTCTATCATGCCTATTGAAGAGGATTGATAAGTGGGTTGTCAGAGTTTGGTGTTAACATGACAGGAAATTTAATGTACTTGTGATTTCAAGAAGATTTTGGGGAACTAGCGTCATCGCTTGGGGAGAATTGCTAAGTGAGCTTATCATCCAAAGCGTGAATTTTGATAATTAGATTTAAAGACTTAGTGTCCTTGCCAATGGGCGAAGTTGCGATTTGAGCAATTTTAAAATGGACCATATCATCCTATTGAGGGGGGGGATGGATTGATAGTTGATTGTTGTCAGTGGTATATCGTTAAACGTGAACAGAATTGGGAGGATGTAAGTTTGAATGCATACTCTGTGGCTGATGATCGTCAAGAAGTGTAAATGTTAACTCGAGCGATGTGAAAGATTTATTACTTTTAAACCAAATGGATTCCAAGTAACCAACCCATGCTTGATTAAGACTTAGAAGGGGAATAAAGAGGTAGACAAGGCACATCCACGCTATGGGAGCACTACTCCATGAAGTCGGAATAGAGGCAGCATCAAACCTGGTAGGCCATTATCTGATGAGTTGTGACTATCAGAGGTAACTGTTTAACGGTGATAGTTTTGTGGACCTGCATCCCTACTTGGAAGAGGATTGGTGGGGATTTGGAGGAAAAAGGACTATCAGGGTGACGGTTAACAGTTGATAGTCTTTGTGGACCCCATCCGTATTGAAGAGGATTGTTAGTTTTAGAATTTGGAGGAATAGACGTATCAGAGTGTCATTAACATTGACAGTTTGGTAGACCCGCCATCCTATTGAAGGAGATTGGTAGGAGAATGTGGAGGTAAATGTAGGCTATGCAGAGGTGAATGCATTAAGCATCGGAATAGTTTTGGTAGACACGGGCGCCATCCACTACTTTGAAGATGATTGGTGGGGCAATTTGGAGGAAAAAGGAACTATCAGAGGTGATCATATACTGATAGTTTTGGTAAGACCCGGCCATCCTATCTTGAAGAGGATTGTGGGGAATTTGGAGGAAAAGGACTATGACAGAGGTGATCATTAAGCATGATAGTTTTGGTAAAGACCGCCATCCTACTTGAAGAGGATTTGGGGAATTTGGAGGAAATGTACTATCAGGAAGGTGATCATTAAATGATAGTTTTTGGTAGACCGCCGCCATGCTCCTTGAAGATGATTGGTGGGGGAATTTGGAGGAAAAGGACTATCAGAGGTGATGGATTAACGATGATAAAGTTTTGGTAGACCGCGTCATCCTACTGTTGAAGAGGAAGTTGGTGGGGGAGTTTTGGGAGGAAAAGGACTATCAGAGGTGATCATTAACATGGATAGTTTTGGTAGACCCGCAATCCTACTTGAAGAGGAATTGGTGGAGAATTTGGAGGAAGGTAGACTATCAGAGGTGACTCTTAACATGTAATAGTTTTAGTGGAGGGCGAGCGCATCCTATTGAAAGAGGATTAGCAAGTTTGATGACCATCAAAGGTAATCAATATAACATAGATGAGTTTTGGTAGACTGGCGCGCATCACTACTTGAAGAGGATTGGTGGGAGAATTTGGAGGAAAGGTAGACTATCAAGAGGTGATCATTAACATGATAGTTTTAGTGACCCGCCCTCCCTATTGAAGAGGATTGGAAAGTTGAGTAGGACTATCAGAGGTAAATGTTAACGTGATAGGTTTGGGTCGGATTTTGTGGTTGAGCAGGAGGTAATTCTATAAAGCATAGACACAGTCAGAAAAATTTAATACGTCATAATTCAAATGAACATACAAATAACAACCCGCAGTCTTGAACAGTGCAGAGGGAAAAAGGGTAGACATGGCACATCGGCCTAACGGGCGCAACTATCTAATTAGGTTGACTATCAGCAGGTAATTGTCTAACGGTGATAGTTGTTGGATCCTGCGCATCCTACTGAAGAGGATTAGCTTCAATAGTCGTAGTATCTTCTTCTGACTGAGGAATATTGGGCTTGGTCGCGCGATTGGCTGCAGGAGAAGGATTGAGCTTGGTCCGATTGGGCTTCAGGTTGATGCCTGCTACTTTGTTCTTCAGCTTTTTGATCCTGGCAATAATCTTTTGAGCCTGTTCTGCGCTTGAGAGATTAGTTGTCTCCAAGAACGACATTCTGGCAACTCCGATTTGGCGCTAAGGAGGTCGGTTTGCAAATTGTGCCGACAGGTCTCTACTAAAGTAGACTGTGTCATACCTGACGAACACCGGGGAGCCATGGTTCGGAACCTTTTGACGAAGGCTTTGACGGGCTCCCTCTTCTTCTGCTTAGTGGCAAGAAGGGTATGGATGGAGACTTCTGTATCCTCTTCGAAGAATCTTGACAGGAAGAGTCTCTCTAGATCTGCCCACTTTTGGATACATCCGGCAGGCAATTTTCTGAACCATTCAAAGGCAACTCCCTTGAGGGTGCCAATGAACAATCGAGCCAGTATGGCGTCGTTTGATATCACATTCCCAGTCTGTGACTTGAAATGATAGATATGTTGGTTCGGTGATCCCGTGCCGTCAAAGGTTTGTAGCGTCGGGACTTCGAATTTTGGAGGATAAGGGGTCGCATCCCATTCGGAAGGATAGGGTCTGACAACTCTTTCTTCTTGGAGCTCGCTTCTGTTGGCAATGGCATTGAGGCGGGCTTCCAATTCTTCCATTTTGGCAGATTGGAGATTTTGCTCATTCTCCATCTCTCTTCCTTCATCAGAGGAAGATTCTAGGTTGTGGGCTTCTTGGTCAGAAGCCGTGTCATCAACCACTTTTTCCTTCTCTTTGCTTGTGTGAGGTCGGGATGAAGACGCTTTTCCTCTCTGGGAAAGTTCTTGCCTAGGTGGCAAATCTCTCTTCTGAGATTTGGCCTTGTCTGTGATAATTTGAGTCAACAGGGCCATGAGTTCATTGATGGCCTCCTGCTGAGATTTGAGCATGGCCTCCTGCTCATCAAGTCTCTTTGCGAGATCTTCATGGCTTTCTGTCATATAGGCGGAGCTCTCATGTTCAACAAAAGAGCTTGATGATTGGGACTCTGCAATGGCTGAGTGTTCATCATCGGAATTGGTTCCTCTGGCTAACCTCCGATAGTTGATAGGGGGAATGGCTCCTGTTCGCGTCGGAGTGCGTTGGTAGATTCCTTCAAACTCGTTAGCAATTTCTCTGACGGTCGGTGAACGACTCGTCTCAGAGTCATCTGAACTAGGACCTGAGGCTTTCCCTCTGCCGATCACATTGATAGTGACCTCAGGATATTCGGTCTCTGGAGACTTCTTCCTGTGAGAACATCGTCGTTGGTTGGGCAAAGCAACATTCGTAAATTGGTCGAACACCAATAGTTTGGCCACATATGAGCAGCATTGATATTCCGAGAGGACCGTAGGAATTCCAAGAGGACTGTAGGAATGACTTGTTGCATCGGTCTTTCTCTCGATATGAACTCTCTCAAATCTGTTGTAAAGATTCGAGGAAAATTACTCACTGATCGTGAGGTTTGAACTGGAACCCCCAGTCCACAATTGGACAGGACTGGTTCTTGGTGAACAAGGATCTGTTTGAGATACTTTGAATCCATGGACTTTTTATATCCGCCCCTCAACCAAGTCGCGCTACGCACGCATATTTGAGAGTTGCGTTTATTTTGTGGAACGCACCCCTGAGGGTTGCGTTCATTTTGTGGAACGCACCCCTGAGGGTTGCGCTCAGTCTTCTTCACACAGAGCCTATGTTTGGGCTCATAGACGCGAGACTTGCATTCTGAAACAGAAACGCAGAAATAAAACTTATATTTTCATTTCATTAAATAAATTCCCAGATCTGGGTTTTCATCAAAAACTTGTTGGTGGAAGTTTAAAAATCTGAAACATATGATCTTTAGCATTTACACTAATAAGAACATCGTTTTATATTTGAAAATATGTCTTAGGCTCAATAAAACTCATGAAAAACGTTTATAAATTCATAAAAGCATGGGAGAGAGATTGGGCGAGATGTTACTCGCCTCAGATGTGATGAAGAACGGTTCCCTTCGCTGAAATCCAAAAGAAACTGCTGAAAAATCCTTTGGAACGTCCCAAAATCACCAAGAACACCTAGGGTTTGAGAGAGGAGAGAGGGGGACTAGGGTTTCTGGGGAGAACTGATGAATTGAAGTGTTTTCGGGTAGAGGAGCATCTATATAAACAGTAAAACCCGACCCGATACCCCAAACTGACCCGAACCGTAAAACTGGAAAACCCTCGATGAGTCGACTCATGCTCAGTCGTGAGTCGACTCATGACTCATGGGTCGACTCATAATCTTATGAGTCGACTCAGCAGAAACTTATGACAAAGGGAGATGATATCATGAGTCGACTCATGACAGTCATGGGTCGACTCATGAGCTGAAAACTGAGTTCTTCGACTCTGATGCTTATGAATTGCAAATTTGCAAACTCAACTTCATAACTAATGCATATATACATTCTCATAAGCTCAAAAATGTAAGATTTCATGCACAACCATGCCATGAGGATATTTTTCACATATTGAATATTGTGTTTCACTAATATCCACATATATGAATTATCAAAATCAACGGGGTCTTACATTCACCATTACCAATAGATTTCCTTATGCAACACATAGCTTTAGATTTAATACCTGATAAAAACTTCCAAGTTCCAGAGTCCAAAGCATGTGCAGGAGTATCCCAAAAATTACCTCCCCTGACATATCTTGCTCTCATCCAATTAGACCATAGAGTAGAAGTAGAAAGAAGTCTCCATATCAATTTAAGGGCAGCAGCAAGACAGAGATCATTTAATTTCCTCAAACCAAATCCTCCTTCTTGTTTTGGACGACAGATATCCTTCCAGTTGATAGCATGTAACTTACCCTTCCAAAGAAAGTTAGCAAAAATTGACTCCAAACTGCGAACAGTTGAGTTGGGAAGTTTGTAGACAAAATACCAATATGCTATTGTACTAAAAAGAACTGATTTTATGAGTTCAATCCTTCCAGCAAAAGATAAAGAGTATGTCATCCAGCCCTCAATCTTTTTCCTAACTTTATCAATAAGTGGGAGAAAATCTTTTGCTTTAGGATAACTGATAGATAAAGGAAGCCCCAGATATTTTACAGGAAGAGACCCACTAGATATGCCTATAACAGAACTTAGAACATCTTTATTTCTGCATCCTTTACTGAAAAAAATTCTGCTTTTGCTTTTATTGATACTCAGTCCTGTGTTAAGTGTAAGAGACTCTAACAAATTGTTAATGCCTTCAAAGGATTTCCTGTTAGCTCTACAAAAAACCAGCATATCATCAGCAAATAAAATATGAGACACTTGTAGATTCTGATTCTTCTTAATATTCTGAATTTTCCCCGAAATGGTAGCAAGCTCCATACTAATAGACCAAAATTCCATCACCAAAACAAAGATATATGGGGATAGAGGATCCCCCTGTCTTATACCCCTATTGCTTTGAAAAAAACCAGTAGAAGAGCCATTTAAGTTTGAGCTGCGTTCGTGGCTATGAATGCGGTGCGTCTTAATGCTGGTGTGCGGGGAGGACTTCCGCAGCTTGATTTGAAGAGACCGTCGATTTGTAGTCTCTTTCTGTCGAAGCGTTGCAAAGATCGTTGTTTTGTAATCTTTACTTTAGCTCTTTGATATGCAAGAGTCGTCAGATTGTAACTCTCGATGTTGATGGTGAAGGCTGTTAAACTAGAGCTCTCATCGGTTGTCGTGAAGGTCGTCAGATTGTAACCTTCAGCGATCTACGTGAAAGTCTTCAAATTGTAGCCTTCTGGAAGTCGTCAGATTGTGACTTCCATCATCGGTGTTTTGATGGGGATCAGCTATCTATTGTGATTTTTTTGACAGCCTACAGGTGTGATTTATCTGTTTTAGAATCTTACCTGAAGAGAAAAAAGATTTCACAGCTAGAATCACATCATCCTTGATCAAACTCCAATTGTGTTGATAAAAATAAGCGTTAAAACCATATGGTCCTGGAGCCTTATCTGGATTCATTTGGAAAAGAGCCTCTTTAATCTCCTTGTGATTGATTTCCTTCACTAACCATTGCTTAGCTTCAAAAGTAAGTATTTTCTTCACTGTGACTTTAGGAAACACATTCCAATATGTAGTTTGATTGAAAAGATCTTCATAAAATCTAGGAGCAATCAGCTTCATCTTGTCAAAAGAAGAAATTGGAGACCCATCTTTATCAATTAGATTCCTGATATTGTTTGAAGAAATCCTGTGTTTGATTGCATTATAAAAGAATTTTGTGTTTCTATCTCCTTGTTGAAGCCATAATTGTCTACTTTTTTGTCTCTACTCATTTTCTTCCTTATCAAGCCAACCACTAAGCTCATATGATACTGCAGATTCTGACGCCTGTAGTTCTTCATTTTCCATATCATGATTTAAATTATTTTGCAAGATCTCCAGCTGTTTGGATAATTTAATAATATTAGCCCTTGTTGAAGAAAATATCTCTTTAGTCCATTGTTTCAGAGCTAATTTAAGATATTTAAGTTTATTAACAAAAATGAACATAGGAGAGCCATCAAAATGATTTTTCCAGACTTCTTTGATCACATCTTCATATCCCTGGCATTGAACCCAGTAGTTAAAGAACCTGAAAGGCTTCGGATCTGAATTTGTGCAGGCCACAAGATGAACAATAGAAGGAGTATGATCACTAGAAGAGGTACTTTTATATTCTATAAAAGCATGAGAAAATTTATCAATCAATGTGGAATTGCCCAGAGCTCTATCTAACTTACCATAGATTCTGTACTTTCCTTGCTGATTATTATGCCATGTCCAAGTTGATCCCGTACTTTTGATATCAGATAGACCACATAGCTGAAGACAGTGATTGAAAGCTTGAAGTTTCTTGGCAGTAAGTTTCATACCTCAAATTTTCTCTTAAGTGAATCTGCACACATTAAAATCACCCACTAGCAACCATGGCATATTGTTAACTTGAGAAGAGATGTCTACAATGTCAGCCCATAAAGATGTTCTTGTTAATTCTGAATTCTCACCACAAATAACACTCAATATCAGAGTGAGTCCACCATTGTTCTGTAGACTAATAGTAATTTGTTGTAATGTAACTGATAATACTGTCCCATTCCACACATCAGCATCCCAAGCTATCCATATTCTACCTCTACTAGAAGCAGAATAGTTGTTACAATATGACCATTGAGAAGGAATACATTTAGTAATTCTGTATGCCTTTGTTGATTTTACTTTGGTCTCTATTAAACCAATAACACTGGGTTTCAAAGATTGAATGTGCCTTTTAATATCCCTTCTTCTACCCAAATTGTTCATACCTCTAACATTCCAAAATAACATTGTCATGAGTAATTATTTGAGGAGGCCCTTGTAACTCTTTTTGGACCTAATGAAGATTCCTTTATTATTTTAACCTGGTTTTTCTTCTTCATTAACAACTGGTTTTTCTCAAGT